TATATATAATGAACCTCTAATACCTTTGACATACCCAACATCTTGGAGGATGTATCCATGTTTCCCGTGATATATACTCGATTTGCCATTTACTTAATACTCAGTCATTTGAAAGGGGAATATAATAAGTCTGGGGTTTCCCTTGCCCTTGAATTATTGAAGTGAAACCTCACTGAGCTAAGTGAACATTACAGTAAATTAACCCCTACTTATCTACTTTATCCTTGAGAGTGAAAATATATTATGAGCCTGTGGTTATTTCATATGAATCATGCCTGAACGCTACCTGAACGCTACAAGTCTTCTTAACTTCCTCAACATGTCAGGCCTGCAGAATATGGAATACCCAAAGGAATTCAGTTTGCCCTGAAAAAGGTCACACATTGCACCAGGATTAGCCTATATGCTGTCAAGTATAAGAATACTGCTGCATATAGGTTGCATATCTGTGTGATTGACTTCACCTTGTTGTCATTGTCATTGATGTACTAACTTTTGACTGCTCCTGTTTAGGAGGTTCAGAGACGGGCCAGATCCAGAATGGGAAGAGGATGAGGACAGCATTTACCAGCACCCAACTCCTGGAGCTAGAGAGGGAATTCTCCTCCAACATGTACCTGTCCAGACTCCGAAGGATTGAGATCGCCACTTACCTGAACCTGTCCGAGAAGCAGGTGAAGATCTGGTTCCAGAACAGAAGGGTGAAGCACAAGAAAGAGAACAAGGGAGCTCAGAGGAGCACCCATGGGGGCTGTAAGTGTGCCAGCGGCCAAACACATTACCCTGGCTCAGAAGATGAGACTTCCCTATCCCCGGCATCTACCACCGAGGACAAGGACATCTCACCTTTATAGAACACCTTCATTGATCTCTATAAACTGTCGTGCAGTGATCTGCACCTCCCTCCATAGACAAGAGACTGGACTCCATCGGAGCTACAAATATCTGTCGCTGATCTAGACGACTTGCAGTTCCAAAACAGCTGGAGAAGCACAGGTTGATGGACGATCACAGCACTGTGGATCATAGTATAGTCGGAATCAGATCTGATCGATCCATGTGTGCTCTGCTCCAAGCAGGTGGCTAGCTCGATCTGTAGATACTGTGTAAAAGCTTGTAAATAGTTTAATCTCTATAACTGTGTTCAAAACTCACCTGCATGTGAGTAGTTTTATACAAAATGGCAGTATATTTATATTTATTTAAATAAAAAAAATGGCAGCCAGTTGTGTTTGATTTGACCCTTTTTACTGGGAAAATAATAAACAGATCTCATTCCTACCGAGAGGTTCAACACTGACAATTAAAATTGGGACTAATCAGAAATATTTTTAATTGTTAGGTTAATTGAAACAATTTGTATAATTATGCTAAGAGGTAAATCTGGCAAATAAAACGTAGCCTGACTTTGGTTCAATAACACAAATCATATCAAGTGGGTTCTCAGTTAAAGACTAGAGTGTGAGAATCCAATGAAACATCATTCATGTGTAAAGTGTTATGATGATGTGCAAAGTCTGGTAACCTATAGCAACCACTCTCATCTGGTAACCTAAAGCAACAACTCTCATCTGGTAACCTATAGCAACTACTCTCATCTGGTAACCTATAGTAACCACTCTCATCTGGTAATCTACAGAAACTATGATCTGGTAACCTATTGCAACCACTCTCATCTGGTAACCTATAGCAACTACTCTCATCTTTTTCCTCATTTGACCACAGTACACTGGAATCGGATTGCTATTTATTTTGTTGTGTATTGTTTGCAGTAGCAAACGATTTTACTTTCATAGGTGATAGTATACCTACATTTTGCATGCATCAGGCCAATTTTCACTCTGATTTCAGTTAGTCCCTGTGATCAAAGGGAGCAATATTTAACTATTGCCTTACAACTACCTGCTAGTAAATGATGATCACATGGTAACTAATAAACTATACCAGAAAGTTGCCAGCAATGATAGGGACACTGATTTACTAAAGGACTGGGGATCTTCAATACACATGCTAATTGACCTGACTAGTCGCATAATTTAGTGTGTGAAGATTCGCAATTCTTTTAGTAAATTAGGCCAAATGTGTATCCCATGACATCGAATCAGATCTCCTATTAAATTACATGAGTGAAAGGTGAATTCTGATTGAGTTACTGCACTTTGTACAGTTCTGTTTCATGTATTGAAGAAGAGAAAATTGTTGCAAGGCCATTTGATTTTTACGTTAAGGTTGTATCAATATAAATTATATAAATTATATATATCGCTATCACCTTCCGTGTCGCTGTACAATGTCATAGATATAACATTCACACTATTGTTGGTGAGTGAATAAAGGCCATTCTGATGAAGGTGACTCTTGCCCAGCATAGTACAGGATGAATGTGATATGTGGAGAGATGCAGCCATGGCCAGGCAGAGCAGCCTGAAGAGACATGTATAGGGAAGGCAGAAGTGGCTCTCACTATCTCTATGGCACTCCGGCTATGCCGCCTGTTTAGGACAGTCATTGATATGAATAGGTCTGAGCACTGCTAGCAATAGCCCTTTTCTAGCAGAGGGCAAGGTTCAGGACAGTGCCACAAAGACAGTTCCAGACAGGACAGGAAATGATCTTGCTGGCAGCACATCCCAATTATGGCTTGTATTTGGAGGGGTCCCTTCTAAAGGTTTTACAAACAAGGGTTATAATAATCACATAAAATCATCGTTATTATAAGGGAACAATTAGGGTCACTTTCCTAATTGCACAACCTCTACATCAAACACCAAACTTATTTTCCCATTGCCTCTAAGGCAGAAAATAATGCCATACATGTAAAAGTATCAGGTTATTGTGCAGCACTTGTTGGGTACAATGATACAGTGTGGTATAGGATAGGTAGAAAACAAAATCATATCCTCAATTGAATGCACCTTGCTTCACAGATTGTTTTCTTAAAAGTCGATTTCACTTGACAAACATACAACCTGGACAGAAACATCTACTGATTTGACCATAGAGACTTCTTACCTTTGATTTACTAAAGGAATAACGGATATCCACTTATGTTAATCAATACAATGAAGCTGTGTTCACTTTAGTTATTCAATAATATGCAAGAAAAAAAATCATGTTTTTTAAAATCCTTCACATAATCTGGTAACTAAGCTAAATAAATATATTTTACTGCTTTATTAAATATTACACATTGTGTATTGCACTAGATAACAGGGAATCGATTAGCACATTTGGGTTGATTTCCTAAAGTAGTAAAGTCTGTTCACTAAGCAAGGTAAATGTTAGTACACATGGTAAAGCTCTGTTCACTTTTAATATCATGTGCTAGACATAAATCGTGTTTTTTTATATCCTTGCACATGATTTGGTATTTAATGGGAACATAACTTCACCTTGTTCACTAACATTCACTTTGCTTAATTAACAGCCTATACTCCTTTATTAAATCGACTTAATTTTGCAAAATTAGATTTTCTGACATTATTTTCTGTAGGTTTTCCTGATGACAAATATGAGGAGATTGCACTTGCCTCAGAAATGATCATAAATCATTTTAAACCGGTGTCGAAATTACATATAAAATCATGGGCAAAGATGATAATCTGTCTGTATTGCCATTAAATGGTTTTTATATTGATTTATACAATTTCCATACAAACCTGTTGACCATTTTGAGATAAAGGTCCTCCTTCTGCAGGATACAAGTTTTCATGCTATCACTCACTGTAGTATCTCAATGCTCACTAATTCACGAATCTTGAATACATTACAATTGCTGCTCCCTGAGTGATCTTTGCGGCCTTAGACCCCTGTGAGAAGGCGATGGGTGACCTCAAAACTATAGATACAATAACAAACATATAATTGATCTGAAATGTATTGACAGCTTCATTAGTTGAAGTTGTTTAGTTTTTTATGCAAACATTATTATGTAAGCTAATTTTTCCCTTTTGCGGAAGAAGTACAGATGCCATGCTCCCAACACACGAAAAGGTTTCTTACATTGGCATGTGTTTGTGGGCAAGGACTGCTATGGTGTGTTTACTCTTTTATGTGGCACTATATGAATATGGCAAATGTTATTATTATTATTATTATTAATAATAATAATAATAATAATTAAAGAAACTCATTGTGAAGAATAAATTACATTGTTAATGGTACAGTTTTCACCAATAGTCTTGCCATTTTTTTGCCTTCACATGTATAAAATCAGTACTTGGTCCTTTTAAAAACGTATGTATGGGGCATGATCCATGGCAACACCAATCAGGTGCCAACCTTCTTTTATTGTACTGTAAATTTGAACATAAAAGTCTCAGTGCTGTTGGTCTTACTTTCATTCTTCTTCCAGGACTACAGCATGGCTGTATTGGAGTGTGAGTTCTTGGGAACAGTGCAGTGCCCAATGAATTGTGCGACTGCCGAGCAATAGAAACCTTCACCATGTGTTTGGTATGTCTTTGTCTCATTGATTACTGGCATAGGTTTCTAGAGCACCACTATTACTAATTAGCCTGGCACAAATGTAAGGCAACTTCTATATTTTCTCAGTAATGTCAACTGAACAGAGTGTTGGTGGGCATTCCACAGCACTCCTCAGAATAGTATTAATGATATTAATCCCTCTTCTGGCTCTACCTGTGTAGTCAATGGTCATGTGAAAAGAACAGCTTGCTATAGAGGACAGCCTACAATGGATGCAGGGTAAATCTCTTCATTACATGAATACTTGCTCTGTTGTTTCTTTGCTGCATTGTACGTATGCTCTGGGAATATTTAAATGACTGGTTCCCTTTGTAAAAGTCTGTACAGTCGCCGTTTTTTCCCAGATGTATACCTTTTACATAGCATATGCTTGACATGCTCCAGTTGAACTCTCTTTTCGATGTAAGTGTGAACCACAGCACAGTGTACAATCCTGCAACAACTTTCTTAGAAGTTCCATAAGATTCCAGGCTGTCAATAGGCTGTTCACAGTGGATAACAAGTATCCACCCCTCTAATCCCTTCAATGCTATGACAACCTGGCTTTAATAGCTCTATAACTGTATCAGAATGCTGGGAAGTCTGCTGGCTGTCTTGCTAACTAATTTCTTGCAAATTAATGAAGCAATGACAATATCAGTCTGTTAAAGGCTTTAAGTTAAAGGAAATCTGTCTCGAAAAAAACCATGGAGACTGAAACTGCTGACCTCCTCTCCTAAACATGTCAGCTGCTTGCCTGCCATGCTGACCATCTTCTTTCAATATCTTATGTCATTGACTGGAACTAGGATTCAGATAAAGACTCATTTTCTCTTGCTACTTGGAGGAATATTGGCACTCCAGACAAAGCTGGACAAGGCTTCCCAGTGGTTCCATGGGGCACATGCCTTTTTTTAATTGGAGCCTTTGAAGAAGGGGGAGTCTAATGCCCTGAAATGCATTGGCTCTAGCCTGTATCATTTTACAAAATGCAAATAAACTTTGCAACTGAACAATTTAGGTGTAGGACTTTTCACTGGTGGTGCTCCTCATCAGAAGTCAGTCTGACTTTTCTCTTTCTTGGTCAGCTCCCTGCTCATAGAATAAGAGATTATTTAAATGAATTGTCCATTTAGCAGAATCTAGGTTAAAAGGTGCCAATGGAAGCTGCAGAGTTGAACCATGAGCTTGGGGTATCATAGAGCTGAACCATGAGCTTGGGGTATCAAAAAGCTGAACCATGAGCTTGGGGTATCATAGAGCTGAACCATGAGCTTGGGTTATCACCTATCAGCTTCAACAGTGTGACTAAAGTGTGTGAATCACAAGACCAGATAAACAATGATAATTAATTATAATCTTTTGCAAACTAAAACAGCTCACAAGAAT